AAAATTATTCTAGACTCGCAGGTAAAGTAGAATAATGTTGTCGTGAAATAGCACTATTTTCCCGTTTTTCCGTTGTACACTCTAGGTATTATTAGCTCTTGATTAAATGCATATTAATCACAAAATATAACTCCTCTGGTGAGATATTGGCAATACGCTAACATAGTAACGTAGCCAGATTTTGTACTGTATGTCATATGCAGCGGGGACCTTACATGCAAGGTCTTCTTCCTATTTCTTAAGTGAGGTCGACTGATAGAATGCTATTGCATAAATCTAAGGTAGGATAACCCCTCTTTATTTTAAATGCATAATTCTTGTAAAATATTCTTTTTCTCGGGAGATATTGCGCATGCGCGAGCACAGTTTCAGGCGTGCAGTATAGGGTCTGCATGAAGAAAACTGCATAACATAGCTTGCTGCGGGAGAGAGGGGGGGGGAGACAGAGGACAGGCGGCAGGGAAGATAGCTAAGAAAAGGCAGGCTGAGGGTGGGACAAGGGAGGCAAGGGGAAAGACGGCAGGTCATAAAGTACATGTTTTTACCCTACAGCCAAGGGCGTTCTACTAATTATTAACGCAGGTCTACTGATAATAATTTATTACAGAAATCTATTCTGAGATACCCCTAACCATATTGAATGCATATTCATCATACAATATAACTCTTCTGGTTAGATATTGCGCATGCGCTAACACACTAACGTAGCCAGATTGTGTACTGACTGGTTTATATGCAACGGGTACCTTACATGAAAGGCCATCTTCCCATTTCTTAAGAGCGGTCTACTAATAAAATATTATTATAGATATCCATGCTGGAATACCTTCTCTCCATATTAAATTAATATTATCATAGATTCTCTATATTAATCTGTATTAAATGCATAACTTTCGCGATATATTAATCTTGTCGGGAAATATTGCGCATGCGCGCATCGCAGCATACCCCGTCGTGGGGCGCTGCAACGTGGACATGTTAGGACCCGCGTATGAAGCGAGGCGTTCTACTAGTTTCCCCAAAGGATGGTAAACTTGGGAGTTGAATTTCAAGATATCCGAAACTACGTATTCAATACGTACGAATAACTAGTATTCGTGTGAATATTTTGGTGCATGGCATAATTACGGTATCAGGACAAATACCCCCCGGACAATCACCCCCCGGACAATAACCCCCCGGACAATTACCCCCCGGACAATTACCCCCCGGACATTTACCCCCGGACA